CACCCTCGTCAACGGTATGACGGGGGAGAAAGATGGCGACGTCCGCCTCGAGGCTATGCCTGCAGTATATGCTCTTTTTGAGTTGGACGAGATGTCCCTTGAAGAGTTCGGCAGTGCCTTGAATGCAGGCGATTTGGCCGTAGTGGTCATTGTACGACCGAACGAGATGATAAACTCGTCATTGCTTTTGGGCGAAGATGTCTTGGAAGACACCAAGAGAGTGCTGAACGGACGAAGTGGATCGTCAATCCTACGGAATCCCTTGGATCCGTACTATCCTTTAGTAAAAGGATTTCAAGACGTCGTCTTCAAAGAACCGCCTTCAGTCCTTCCTTGGGGCCGAGTTGTGCGTCATGAGACCTGATTCCGGTAACCAAATACTGCGTAACACGCCAATGACCCCTGCCCAAGGAGCACTGCGACGTCATTTGACGCCTTTTTCCGGGCGAAGTACGGCGCGGGGATGGTACGTGAGAGCAAGTCTCCTCATTAGACACCCTCGTTTTGTTTTCGGAACCCGAACGGCAAGTGGCGTATCGTTCATGCTTACAATAAGCTCAGCGCTGCCACTATTCCGGCACGAATGCCGATTCCTAAAAACGATGTTCTTCAGAACAACATGGTGGGATGTACGAAGTACAGGGCACTCGACTTGGTCGATGGGTATTACCAATTGATCATGAGAGCAAGTGATATTCCGCTGACGGCGATGAGCACTCCGAGCGGCATGCTCCTAAAGTAGCTGGTGTGGCCGCAAGGCTGTCAAATGCACCAGCAACATTTAATCTTCTTGTCACGCAGTTGTTCAGGCCCCACAGGGCGTATGTACAGACATACTTTGCGACATTTTTGTTCAAGTTGTGCGGAGCATGGGAGGGCGGATGAGGAGGACCACATCGTCCATTTAAGAGCGGTGCTCGATTATATGCGCACGAACAAACTGTACGCCAATGCAGACAAGTGTATCTTTGGCGCAGAAAAGATTCCCTTTTAGGATTTCTTATTGGAAGCGTGGCCTTAGAACGGATTCCGCTAAGGTCAAAGCCAGTGTAGACTTGCCAATTTTGAAGAACCAAAAGAACTTGCGTTTGTGGTTTGGTCTCGCCAACTACTGGCACAAGTACAGCGTAAACTACACAGAAATGGCCCGGCCATTATCCAATCTCCTTAAAAAGGATGCGGAATGGTGTTGAAAAACCAAACTTCTGGATGCTTTTGACGGGGTCAAAGACAGCCTCTTATGTGCACCATTACTGGCGATGCCAGACCCTTATCGTCTTTTCAGCGTCGTCTGTAACGCTTCGGACTTTGCCATCGGCTGTGCACTGCTGCAAGCAGAAGACGAGGGGCGAGATCGGGTGATTGCGTTCGAATCTCAACAGCTCAAAGCTGCAGAGAAAAGCTACCTAGTTCATGACAAGAAGCTACTTGCGATGAAGCATGCACTTGTCAAATTCAGGGTCCACCTGCTCGGATCCAAGCCGTTTGTGATCGATACAGATCATGCGTCACTTCGCACTGCGACTTAGTCGCCCCATCTCTCGCAGAGGATGGCTAGATGGCTATCCTTCTTTGCGGAATATAACTATGAGGTGAAGTATATGCCGGGAAAGCAGAATGCTTTGGCTGACGCGTTGTTACACAGACCAGACTATAAGCTTGCTCATGTTACAACTGTAACGTCGTCTGTGACAGATTTGATCCGCACCACAGTATGCGGGTGAGAGGATGTGTGAGCGTTGCTACGGGCTCTAGGGAGCAAGGAGTTTGGAAACTCGGACAGGAAATTGTCACAAATACTGCGTGCACGATTGCACCGATATTCGTTGAATAACGGGTTGTTATACTATAGCACCA